AATGTATGGTAAGTTTCGCAACCGCACGGTTCTCTCCTTCGCTTACTTCCTTGCATAAGATGCCCTTCAATTTTTAGTGTAACGATTTTAGAAAAAAGTATTGTCTTATAGACGGAAAAATATGGTAATCATTTCCCTGTTCTTATGTCTGGTAATCATAATGTATTAACTGATTTGGTTTTAACTTTATACATTGTTCTCCATGTATCAAAAGGATCTTTTGATACAAAAAAATTAATACAGAACAATTATCAAATATATTGTTAATGCTGACTTTTATCTTTGTATGCTGGAATCAAGTGACATAAATATAGGTGATCAATTTGTACCCATCACCAAGGATTTAGCTGAGGAATCAGAATAAACAGCAGAAATAGAAAATCTGATAAGAAAAGCTATGACAGATTGTCAAAGAGATTACAAGCAGAATGAAATATAAAGAAAGTCTGCTGATTTTAGGCTTTGAAATAAAATGGCCATGTTTAATAAAAGTAGCTACTTACAATTTGGTCAGATGTAGAATAGCAAAGCTATTAAAAAGTCAACTTGGCCTGGCTTCACTGTACTGATCGTTGTATCAAAATGGCTGAGCAAACCAGGTAGCAATGCTATATATCACTATATGTCCTCTCTTGGAGGGAGAACACCTACTCCACTTTGACATCACTGATACCAGGACTATGGGACCCTATTGGTCAGCTGATTCTCTCCAAATTGTTCAGTGCTTTATTATGGTCAAAGACCAAGAGTATACGAATCACATGATTATAAAACTATTAAAAACTGACATTAAAAAAAAAACAGTAGTGCCAGACAATCAACTCTGTATGAAATTTACAGGCAATATAACAAAATGTAGAAACACTTGGACTAAGTCATTCTGATTTGATGACAGGTCCTAAAATAAAATAAATCTGAGTGCCCTGGAAAGTTAACTATTTATGGAATTATATAATGAGTATGGATGTCTTCATGGAAAATACAACGCAAAAGAAAAATGGTTCTTGTTTCAATAATTCTGCATGGACAGAGCTAATTTTCATATGGGATTTTCTACTACTTCCCTGTTGGTAACACATTAAAACGCACCAGCATCATAACTCTTCTGTATTTCAATGTGACTTAAGTGCCTAGCTGTACTGAAGCTAACAGACTAACTATTTAAAGACCTGAGGACAGAAGACTGGCAAAAATGGTCTAGAAAGGTGGTCTCCTTTGGCAGTGTCTGTACACATTGGGTCTTTCATCTATTACCCTCCGCCGCCGCCCCCCCCCCCCCCCCC